ACCCGCTGATGGACCCCTCTTCCTCACTCTCACTGGAGGAGGACGACTCGGACCCACTGGACGACTCCGACACTGAGGAGGACTCCTCTTCCTTCTTTCTCTCTTTGCTGCTGGATTCATACACTCAGATGTTATTACATGTACCTTCGCCAGGAAATGCTAGAATGCCCTTCTTTGTTAACCCTTGTCCTGCTGGCATTCCTGACACAATATTTTTTCAATATTTTCATGTCTTAATTAGATTTTAAAAAACTAATTTTTTTTGCCCTGCAGTGGCATAGTTACTTCCGCATTCGTTGCGTTTCGCTGCAGTGTAATCCGTTGCACGAGAAATACCCCCAAATCGTACCTATGCAGGGTGTTATATAGATGGTACTGAATGTGCCGCGCAACATATGTTGCGCACAGCAGGACAAGGGTTAAGGGGCATCAAGTTTATCCCACTGGCTTAGTGAGTGTTCAGTCAGACCTGCATGGAGTCGTAGAGGATCTCTGCCCTGAGTCCTGCTGCCCACAGATCTCTCACCACCCTCATCCTCTCCTTCAGCAGGGAACTCCTGCCGATAGTACACACCAGGATGTCACAGGTACTGGGCACCTGGCACTGGGGAGGGGGGGGGGATTAATGAGATTTGATGGTACGTCCACAGTACCTTGTACAAAGAATGACTAATTAGTCATGTCAATGATACATGTACCTCATATCAGAAAAATTCTAATCTCCCTTTATGATACAGTGAAATGTTAATTAAATAACACTCAGGTCACACACTCACTATCAATTTTAAAAGTGATATGTTTAAAATGTAATTGAATATGTTTTACTGGTATTGACTTTAGACCCAATGTTATCTCTTACACGTGGAAATGTTTGTAAAGCTTTATTCAAACTAGTAAGAACAACACAATTCAGACTTTTGCCTATGAGTTGTTTGAATAAAGACTGCATGCTTGCTTGCTTGATGACTGTCTAAAAGACGTTAACTAAACATCATATATAACTGGAAAATGGGGATCATGAAAGATTTACAGCATTTACAAAAGCTACTAAAAGCAAAAACAAGTTAAAAAAATACAATGAATTTGATGTGAAAGTGTTGAATACATACACTTTCAGATGCTGAGACTGCTGACACCACCTTCTCAAAAGCGATGCTGACACCCACTGCAGCTGGGCCTGGTACACTGGTCATGGACGGCCGCTTGAACTGGGAGATCTAAACACACAGGAATATGTTTTACTGGTAACCACCATCATGTGCCCAAAATAAGCTGGTTCAGGGTTTTACAATGCGCATGCAAGGCATTGTGGGCAAAACATCAAAGTTGAAAGCTGAAACGTTATTTCCTGTATTTTAGTAAGAAATTTTGCCTGTAGAATAAGCTTTTCATATCTTTAATAGACATTGATTTTTGTCGGTCAAAGATAGCAGATTGGGCAAAATGTTTGTCCGTCATGACTGTAAAAATTCTGTCAAATGATGGAAAGATGGATGCTTGCTATAACACTGGCCAAGAGTACGATAAATTTTCATGCGTACACACATTTTGTCAGAAGTCCAGCTCCCTCTACTTTAAGTGTCAATGGAATATGACTAGGGTTTTCAGAACATGGCACAATTTTGCCAATACTTCATTCCACCTGGTTCTTACTTGACTCCTGCTGATTTGGATGAACTGTGAAGGGGTCTTACCAGTTTATCGTACCGGCCCCCTGCAGCTAACACGTCCATCCCGACCCTCTTCTTGGTCTTGGAGCTGGCTGTCTCTGCCATGAACTGGAACACCAGTCCACAGAAGTGGTGCACGTTGTACACAAGACCCAGGGATACTATCATCTGTACAGGCATACACAGGTCAGAAGGTGTTCATTATTCAGGATTCAAAATCAAGTTGACTTTTAAGTATTAAAATATGTTGTACTCTTTTTTTTCATAGTTACACAGAATAGCCTAAACTAGAGAATAAAAGACATACATAATCAATAACGATAGCCAGTTCAGCACCAAGGAGAGATCCAGTTACTGATACTAGTAACTGTATGGAATAGTTGGTGATAGTGAGTTCAGTACCAAGGAGAGGTCCTGTCACAGATATGTAACAGTTGGTGAGAGTGAGTTTATTTGTTTGTTTATTTCGGAATCTCCCATTAGTGATAATATGTACATCACTATTCTTCCTGGAGTCCTGGAGTTCAGTACCAAGGAGAGGTTCTGTCACTGATACTAGTACCAGTACGTAACAGTTGGTGATAATGAGTTCAGTACCAAGGAGAGGTCCTGTCACTGATACTAGTACCAGTATGTTATATTATAATAGTAGTTGGTGATAGTGAGTTCAGTACCAAGGAGAGGTCCTGGCACTGATACTAGTACCAGTATGTTATATAGTAGTTGGTGATAGTGAGTTCAGTACCAAGGAGAGGTCCTGTCACTGATACTAGTACCAGTACGTAACAGTTGGTGATAGTGAGTTCAGTACCAAGGAGAGATCCTGTCACAGATGTGTAATACTTTTTTTTTGCTTTTGAGGTATTTTAAAGTGATACAGGAGCACAGAGCCCCAGTAATCATAACACTATTAACTGTAACTACATTGCATGAACATTGGAATACAAAATTTCATACATGTATATGCCAACACATAAGAAGATAGCAACCTGAAACAGATTTCTATAGACATCGAAGATCCCCTTCTACAACAAATGGTATCCTCTTTTCTGAGCTCTATTTTTTTTATTGTTGAATTGTTACCTTATTTGTTAACTGTCCTTTACCTAATACCAATTGTATACATTAAACTGTTGAATACATCTACAAATGTATCAGTACATCTGTTATAGTATTACCTGTTGCTTGACCTCCAGTGTCTCGGCATGTGATATGATGGTCTGTAGCTCATGAAGACCTTGCTTAGCCAAGGCACCCACCTGCATAGTAGTGCAACAACATGTTTTAATGTTACACAAATTTTTGAGGGGGCCACAAGGCCAGCTTTGTTGAGTACAACTTTTTTTTAAATTTCATGGTTGTGATACATTTACCAGATGAATGAGAGATCCAAGTAGAGTTAGACTTGATCTCAAAAATATACCTCAATATAACATTACCTGGTATAAACTTTTCATTATCAAACATGTAATATAGTACATACTAGATACATAATGTGAATGAAAAGAAAACAGGCAAAGAATTAATGAATTCGTGTTAACCTGTGAGTTATCTTACCTGGCCCTTGTTCTTTGTGAGAGATTTGAGGAGACTGGATATTTTATTAACAGGTCCTTCCTGCTCCACATATCTGAATAAACACTCTACCTGGGGTGTAGGAGTAACAAGAAAGCTACAATAAGCATCTAAAATTGTTATTGTTATTATCTTTATTATGCTTTTAATTGTTTTGGAGAACAAGAATAAGTCCTAAGGCTTCTTCCTCCTCCAGCACATCCATTCTGTTTAGGTTAATTATTCTATATTCTGTTTCATCCAATTATTGTATTTACTTTCTGTATTGTTTTGTATTTTATATGCATGTGCATATAAAAATACTACAAAATAAAATCAATCAAAAGTTAAAGATTGTTTCTGATCATCTTATTGCAGTCAGTCATAAGGCAGAGTTAGTAAACGCTCCACAGTCACATTGTTCAGCAACATGCTCTTGCATTACCAACTTAAGTTGATAGGAGGCACACTTAACTTCATGGCAACTTTATGAAAAGCAACATTTAGGAATACACATTCCAATGGGTGATGATTACTAAGGATATTAACAATGAAATGCCATACTGAGAAATTCATGAAACAATGTGCTTCAGGTAAATATAGTTCTAAAACAGCAAGAAAAGGCAGTTCTATTCTATCAGTACTTACAGTTTGGTCAGACAAGGACAGACTGCAAAGTCTGGTTTGCACTTGCAACTTTCTCAACTTCTCCACCTAGTTTGGTACAGAAAACAAATATGAACAGAATTATGCTGATGAATCAAAGTAAGGAAGGGGCTTTATAACATACAATTTTTTTACGGTGTTAATGGTGTTCAATAATATCAACGTCAAATAAATCAGATTCTACCCATACATGTATACATTGTAGAATCTGATATAGAAGACTAGATTTGGAATCACTTCAACTTTCCATGGTACAATGTACATACCATAAGGAAACTGACAACAACTAACACTGTAGCATGGGTTTAAAGTATGTGTGTCACCTTTGCTTCCCTGAGAATGGAGTAGACCTCCATGTGAACGTCCTCTGGGACTCCACAGTGTGTGAGGATGGCAGTCAGCAGGGACGTGTGGTTCAGTCGGATCACGTAGTTCCTCTCCTGCGGATGATCATAATAGCATTGTTACATTGTTGTTGACAACATATACATAGTCCTTGAAGCATTAGAGTGATAAATTGAGGTTCAGTTACAAATCTCTGGTGGTGTCATGATCAAATGGACAAGTGATAAGCTAGTGGACATGAGACAGAGAGGTTGATTTCTGGCATTCTTGACAAGACGTTGTGTCCTTGGGAAAGGCACTTAACACAACTTACATGTACCTCACTCCACCCAGGTGTAAAATGGGTACATTGTACCTGACTTCTGTTGGGGAGGTAAAAGGTGGTGGAAGGAGAGGGATGGGCTCTGCCTTTGAGTACCACGTCCTAGACACAGTGCCACTACAGCTTATAAAAAGGCTATGGAACTACTTTAAGTTTTTCATTACACATCTTTAAGAAAAGAAAAAATAAATCCTGATATAGGAAGATGTCTAGGTCCAGGAGAAACATCAGAAGACAAAAACCTTACCTGGAGCGGTGGAAACTCGTTGATGACCTCACTGACCACATGGAGGACCTCTGCATCTGGTATCTGGCTACAGATCGTGAACAAAGATAACCAACTTTCAGAAACAAACAACAACCATTATTTCATATTTTCACCAAAAAAAAGCAACAATTTACTAATATGTAAAATGTTAATCATAGTAAGTTCATGGTATAGATGTGATACACAAAAAAGTGAATAAATTAAAGGAATTACTAACTGTAAACAGTATTACCATATTTTTATCAGGGAAGTATCTCGATTTTTGGAGAGAAACAAAACAAAATGGCCGACCTATTTCCTGAAGGAGTCACAATGTCAAAGGCAAACTCCCATAGTTCCTTGGGATGGCTGCCTGGCAGTTTCTTCCCTCTGTAGACTCTACCTAAAGAATATCTGATAGACAAAACAGGACACATCATTCAACCTGGTGGTGTGCTCCTCAGCAGCCTGAAATTTTAAAATGTACAAAATGTACATGACATACATTTGTAATGATTGTATAATATCATACAGAAAAATATCTGAAGAAAAATTTTAAAATGTACAAAATGTACATGACATACATTTGTAATGATTGTATAATATGATACAGAAAAATATCTGAAGAAAAAAATTTTAAAATGTACAAAATGTACATGACATACATTTGTAATGATTGTATAATATGTTACAGAAAAATATCTGAAGAAAATTCAATCAAATTATGAAAGGCACTGACATACATTTGTAATGATTGTATAATATGTTACAGAAAAATATCTGAAGAAAATTCAATCAAATTATGAAAGGCACTGAGTACTGTAACAATGTATTCAGACTCTTTTCCCACCTTTTCAAACTTGTAACATTGTTTCTTGCTAGAAATCTTGCAAATGGTACCTGAAAGAAGAGTATCATATTATTAATATGTATGTCAGGGTAAAGATTGCTAATTCTGCAGTACAGATACTGATCAGAATCTCAGTCTGTGGACAGAGACTTCAACCAGGATGCTAGAAATGTGTTATCGTGGTCACTCATTTAAAGATCTCGGGTTTCAAGTCAATTCATACACAAAATACTATATATGATTGATGTAATTGAACTTTGAATTTCTTTTTAAGCATTGCCAAATATTCAAAAATTTACAGACTCATACATATATGCATGATCCAGTATAACCAAAACTTGAATCCAAAACTTAATCTCAAAGCCCATAGTCCAAGTGTCTGTCCATACCCTCAGATCAAAAGGCAGTCCAAGCAGACATCCTCCAGGGTCCATCATGGTGGCACACATGTCACTCTGCTCGTACAGTTTACTCTTCGGCATCAGCAGGGCAGTGTGCACCTTCGCAGCTCCTGGCAAATCAAGATACAAGTTTCTTATAAGTTTATTAAGCATGTCGGCAGAACATACATGTACATGTAATGTGCCTGTGCAAAAGCTGGATTTTTTTACGGTTTTCTTTAGATGTTTGGTCAACGTTGAAGCAGAATTTTGTCTGTTGCAGACAATATCTTTTCCAACACAACATTTTGAAAACTATAGACTGAATGTCATCCTTAAATAATTTATATGCAAATATTCAATTACAACCCTCAACAAAACATTCTGCCAAAGTTTTATGCACAAGCCAGTGGGAATGGCCCCTGTATCATTGTGTAAAGGTGTTTTAATGTGTTATGAAATGTACAATTATAAATGACTTGAAAAAAGAATCTTATTGAAGCACTGACCGTGTCTCTGGAATATGGAGGATATCTTATCTGCAACCATACGTTGGACTAGAACAGAAGATGTGGAGAACTGGCCCTGCAAGGAAGTACAGACGCATTGTTACAGACTGAGAAAGCATTGTTTTGGATATGGTTCTGGATCAAGCAAGGTTCTGGATCAAGCATGGTTCTGGACAAATCATGGTTCTGGATTAAGCATGGTTCGGTTAAAAGCATGGTTCTGTATAAAGTATGGTTCTGGATAAAGCATGGTTCTGGATTAAGTACAGTTCTGGATAATGCATGATTCTGGATAAAGCATGGTTTTGGTTTAAGCATACATTTTGTAGTTCTGGATATACATATGATTGTACAACAGCTATACAGTACAGCTTGCGTTAGAATTAACGGGTGACGCGATCACGAGGTAACGCTAACGCGGCGATCACGTAACGCTAACGCAGCGATTACGAAGCGATGACGCGATGACGCAAATAGAGAAGGAAAAATACATACCTTGTATATGTCCATGTCAAATGTGTAGTCAGCTATGGCAGTGACAGGCTGACTGAAGAGTTCAGACATGAGTTTCCTGTAGGGGAGTGACTGTGTGTTAGACAGGGTGTGCCTCAGCACCTCTCCTAGCTGGGAGTCCTCCATCTGGGGCGGGGGCAGGTAGTCACTCTGCAGCAGCTCGCTGGCGGTCGGTCTCTTCCCCGGATCATGGTCCAACAGCCAGCGTGTGATGTGGTGCTGGGAGGGAAGGGAGGAGTAAGGCTTTGATTTGATTTGATTAATTTTTGATTTATTGAAATTGCAACAGTGCAATACACGTGAGAAAAAGGCAGCTGTTGCTGGTGTTGTATCCCACACAAAGAAACAAATACAGTCAGACAATACTCATTTCCACTTGAGTTAAGTGGGCAAAGTTGTCTTAAGTGCCTTTCCCAAGGGCACAAGATCAGTGGCATGCTAGGACTCGAACCCAGGACCTCTTGGTTTGGAAGGCTTTGGAATACATTTGCTATGATACAATAATATTAATTTTGTCACATTATCTCTCATGTAGTACACACCTCTTGATTAATGTACATTTTTTGTAAATTTCTATTGAATGTGAATTACAAGTAAGGTTAATACAAGATATATACAAGATAAAACTGACCTGCCCAGGCATTTGCACTTCATCAAAATCCTCTGGGAATTGTACAGATTCCTGTGATGACAAAAGCAAAAGAGATGCACTTTCGATAAAACAGCAATGTGTAAAGATGGTACAATAACTGTACATTTAGTAATAAATCATTTAATGATTCATACTTGGGAACCTATTTTTTACTATAACTTGCCCTCAGTTCCTTGCCTTAGTTAGCAACAACTTTTAGCACACTAAAGTAGCCATTTCGCAACCAATTATCTATTGGTTATGGGGTACGTCATTGTACATGTAGGTAGCAGAGAGAATGTTAAGACAAAGTCCTACCATTCTCAGGTTACCGATGATCTTCACCCTCTCCATACCAGTAGTCAGAGGCTGGTAGCACATCTCAAAGAAAATGATGCCAAGACTGTACATGTCCACTTTCTGTAGGGAACGGGGAGTAAATTATAAGTGGTGACTGGCAATAGAAACATTATAGGACAAAAAAATGGTTCCATTTTAAATACTACATGTACATGTAAATACTAAATCCTTGCAGAATCCTAGAATTCAAGCATTAAATTTAGTTTACACACTACTGCTGTCCCATTGACAATGAAAAAATCACCTTTTTTGTTGGAGTTTATGATCATATATATGACTAAAATGTCTAATACAAAACAATATACATGTTTGTAATACAAAATGTACAGGCAACAACAACATTCTGCTGAATATAGTGTCTTTTGCTTTTACATTGTAAAGGGCGTTAATGACTAGTTAATGGTGATCATATTGGTCATGCTTCTGTTGATTAACTTGACTATGTACATTTGTATTTTTATTGGCAATAAAGTATTCACATAGATCAAGGCCTTTTTAAACCTCCTTGCATTGATAAGGACAATATACATGTACCCTTAATAGTTTGCCAATATATAAGTTGGTCTTTTAAAAAATCCTGTGTGAATTGTTGTGTGAACTAAATGCCTGATATATCGGTGTAATTATTATGCATACCTGATTGTATGTTATCTTGGGTGATGGTAGACAGAGTTCAGGACTGATGTACAGGGCAGTTCCAACCTTTCCTGTCAAACCACCACCTGTAAAAACACAACAGGTTCAAATGTAGCCAGCATGTTGGCAGAACATACATTGTACTGTGCCTGCATGAAATCTGTATTGTATAGTGCTTTGCACTTCGTATACTTATAATGTCTCTTCTGAGACTGTATTCATATATTTAAAGGATGACATCCCATCCATAGTTTTCAAATGTTGTGTTGGAAAAAATAGCAAAATTGCAATAGGCAAAACTCTGATGCAATGTTGACCAAACATCCAACGAAAACCGTGAAAAATCCTGGTATCACGAAGGTGTAGTATGCTCTGCTGATGTGACAAACCTCACTTTAAATAAGTATAATTCTTTTTCTAGCAAATGATGTATTTCTCAAAATCATGTATACATGTACATGTAGAAAAGGGAACAAATCACATAAGTCAGGCTCTTTTTCTTGCCTAAAGGCAACAGTTGGCTATGAAAGAAGTCATCAAAGGTACTTACTTCCCAAATCACCTGACAGTGAAGATGATCCTGTGATGTCATGAAGGGCCTGGAGGGGCGTCTCTAAAATTTGGTTTCCCTGAAACAAACAATTTTTTTCTTCAATCCTATGACAGTCTACTTCGACTAGGAAAAATTGTTAATCAATGTAATAAAACACAAAATAGCCATCATCACTTACAAGTCATTTATGTGACTTTTTTTTCATTGTCTATTGAACAGTTTATCTGGGTTACAGAAACCATTACTTTTCCAAAGGTGTGAGAAGTGGCCAGACCAAAGTCTCCAATCTTCACGTGGTCGTTGGAGTCTAAGAAAATATTGACTGGCTTCAAGTCTCTGTGGATCATGCCCTGGTGGGGAAGGGGGTCAGACAATTCATAGGTTAGATGGCAGATAGATTACATAATAATTATGTTAAGCAAAGTTAGTAATAGACAAACTTGTTTGTATGACAAAAGTTTGAAATTAAAGAGTGTTATCTCTGCTACAAAATACAATTAATTATATTACATCATGTATAAAATGAAACTGCCCAGATGTAGAGTGTAGACTATATTCTCTTTGGCACTAGTCATCTGCTATGTTACCAATAAGTTTTTAAAATATCTAAAATTTATGTTTTTCATGTACATGTATGTATGCAACTATCACTAGGTATCAGAGGATCGTTTAACATGTACATGTACATTTACATGTACATGTAGATTACCAGGCTACTGGTTAGAAGGTACAAGGAGCTCACACTCCATATTGTGCATTTACCATCTTATTAAGGTCCAGTAGTCACAGATTCAACATAGACCATACCTTAGTTATAGATTCAACACAGGTGTTGAGTATTTTGAAGCAGTTCTGTGTACCTGTTCATGTATGTGAGCCAGCCCTTCCAGGGTCTCCCTGAACAGTCTCCACACTCTCTTCTCATCCTGGTACAGCCCTGCATCAATGATGTTCCTCAGGGTACTCTTATCACAGTACTCCATCTGGAAACAGGTACCAGAAGAAAGTTTGTCTTACATGTTGCTATAATAATTGTAGCAAAGAAAAAAGGTCCTGTTCCACTCTGTGCAGAGCATATATAGGGTTGGCGCTCATCTCCATTTCTGTAGCCCTTGGCCATGGGTCACACAGTTGTGCAAGCACTACAGTGGGCTAGTCTGCGGGTAGTGTTGTGTGTTGATCTTACCATACTCTTTCTTATAGATGCTGAATGTTAAGCAGAGAGAGCAGTATGTACCATTTTTAAAGTCTTTGATATGACTCTCGCCTGGGTTTGAACTTCCCGGTTACAAAGTGAGCACTCTACCGATTGAGCTTCATGTATTGTACCAGTAGAAAGGAACCCTTAATAGAAGCACGGTATATCAAATTGAATGCAAGCTTAAGTACATGTATGTATTGTTAGTACTTTCTATGTTCAGGCCAAGACATAACATCATTTATATATATTCTGCTCTGTTTTTTATGAGACAACTTCTACGCCTAAAAATCTCTACATCGATGAAATCTAACTGTGATTTCACCTGCATGTACAGGATAGACTTGAAGCATGGCTGTTGTTGAGCTGTATCCACATCCTCATCCTCCTCATCCAGGTTCTGTTCTGTTTTCTTCTTCTTCTTCTTGTGGCTGCTCTTCACAGCCTACCAGATTACATAAATTAATGTTACTCAGCTATTATCATTACGATTATGTTTCCAAAGAGCTTTGAAATATAACAGCACAGTCAAAGCTGTACAAGTGACAACACTTGGATAATTTTTTCATTCACACAGGTATTAAGAATCTTATGTATGCTAATCTCCAAGCAGATTCTATGGTCCGACCGTGGAGGCTTGACCTTGCCACCGTAGGATCTGCTTGGAGGTTAGTCTATAGTGACCATCTGTCCACAAAGACCTAATTTTATCTGTCTCCTGAGTGGTCAACTTGGGTAGATTTGACTGTACAGTAAGGTTAGAGTTATGATAACTCATGGCATGCCACTGTTGTGCAAAAAACATGTAAGATATTGCCTTTGCCAATGATAAGTACAAAGTATGTGAATGTAAGTGAATTGGATGACATGGAAGGTGGAGAAAGAAAGACACCAAAGAAATGAGAAGATACAAGTACACACATGAAACAGTATTACACGCACCTGTTTAGTATATATAACATGTAGATTTGTTTAATGGTGAAACTGTTTTCACTGATTTAACAGCTATTGAAGCTTTTACGTGTACTATTATATAATTTGTATGGAAGTTTTGTACACTTCAACATCATATGTAGTATACAAAACTTTTGCATTGATGACTTAATTCCGATCATAGCAAACACTCATATCATGCTGCTGCTGAATGCTGTAAGGTGCATGCTATTTTTCCTGATGCTTTGAATTTGACAACCCTATAAGTTAGAACCCCTCCAACACCTACCAGTGACAGTGTGGAAAAGGAAGGCTCAAACAGCTAGACGGTGGAAGGGAAACACAGGAGAGACAACATGTGAACAGAGCATGGTACAGAGAACATCTAACACAGTACCAACAGTGATCACAGGAAAAATAGTCACTCTAAGAAATACATGTTCAGCCCCTTATACAGAATCAGATACAATGTACTATGTGTATGGACTGCAACTTTCTGGTAAAGCCCATCAACCTACATGTACAATTTAGGTATTATGATCACTTGGACTGAGGGACACGCACAGAATTGCTGAAACATTTCTATTAATACTTCCATTAATAGGTACATGTAGTTGCTTTGTGAATTTTTCTGTGTATTTCTCTCTAATAATTATTCTTTCTCAAAAAAGTAATATACAATACTATTTCCCCATTGGTCCCTATAGAGTAACAGACATGCATGTAGCAGGAAATTAAAGACAGGAAATGAGATAACCTTTGATAACCTACAGTACGCTGGGACCTTTGACCTAGCTTCCTGTTAGAGTCAGCAACAAACACACCAAATACAATACCTCCCATTTTCAAAATTAAGTAATGGGAGGTTATGGGAGTCAGATAAGTTGTACAGTCAGCTTCCTGAAATTAAAACACAGCAAAAACTTTTTTCTCTCTCTTCTATCCCAAAATTAAGTCCCTGCAAGAAGAAATGAATTAATGTACTTCCTACCTGTGATTCCTGGTCTGACTCATCATCATCATCTACTCCCACAAAGTCAGGGTTCCTGAAGCTGTGCTCAAACACCACTCCATCTGACGAGTCATCAGAGTCTGGGTCTGGTCTGTGTAACAAAAAATAGAGTTTAATATAGTACAATCATTATTAAGTAATAAAAAAGTCAGGGTTCCTGAAGTTGTGCTCAAACACCTGGTGACTCCATTAGACGAGTCATCAGTATCTGGGCCTGGTCTGTGTAACAAAATATTATATCTCTAACATTATATCTCTTAAGTAATACAAAGTCAAAACTTCCAACACAAACTAGGTAGACAATAAAAACTAAGAAAAAATTACCGGTATGTACAGTATGGCATTTTTTTCTTTCTATTTTATGTTGCCAAACCAGGCCTGCATTGGAGACAACCTATTTCCAATAACATTCCTGAGTTACTTTAAAATGAGATTCACCCTGAGACTCATGTTTTGACATCCCTATGTGTGGAATGGAACAATCCATCACCGTGGTGATTGGATGCAGTATCAGCTGTTGGTTTCAAGCGTGGAAAGAACCAAGCTGACTGCCTTTCTAGTGAGGTATACTGAGCCATTTTCATTAATTCAAAGCCAGAAGCTTTAATCTAAATGTTGGAGCGTTGTCAGAAAATTCTTGGTGAAGTGTGATTTGTCACTTTGATTTCAAAATAATGCTTTATTTGTTATCCCAAATTCACTTGTTAACTGTTATTGAAAAATTCTTCATATTGCATACTATTATTAGGTTGCTCAAAAATCAAGCAAGGCACCTGCAGACTATTTTGACCACACACTCCTTTGCATCAAATACAAAATCCAATCTAGCATTTCTTAAAGCCTTACAAAACAACAACTCAAGTTACTAGGATCCCCCCATGCAGACCCTCTTGAAGAGCTACACAGGCTGGGGGAGCCACACAAGAAGTTTCTCTCCAGGCTATCACGCCACTGTTGGCAGGCTGCCTGTTACAGATATAAAGGCCACAGCAAACCACAACCTATGCCAGATACAGCCCTTTCTGGCATGCTTGCAATGCCAGAGAAACTTCAAAAGGTAAACATATTACTTTACAAATGCCTACTGGAAACACAAAGTATGGCTGACATCAATCTGCCACCATTTGCACCCCAAGACGGTATGTTAAATTGCACACCCTGCCCACAGGAGGGTCTGCATGGGGGAAACCTGGCATTACACATAAATTTTGAAACAGGTAGAAGGGATGATAATGCTTCATGGTAAATTCAGGCAGGCCAGCAACTCTTAACGGTAAATTAAGTTGTTCTTGTGTAAGACTTTGGAAGCTAAGCAACTTCTTTGGATTGTTCTTTTGTTCCATGGAGTGTCTCGCAAAATTGGCTTATTCTGTGGACCTTCGACGCTCCATTATGATCATGATTCCTGGGAAATCTGGCATTCAACTACGCCAATTATTAGGAAGAATTTTTCAATAAAGCTTAACAATGAATTCATCAGGATACAAAATAACACATAACAGTCATGAAACTGAATGCTTAACGGTAAAGTAAAGAAGGCGGTTACGATTCACTGTGAGTAAAATGGCTCGCTACGTCTCACAGAAACAGACATGCAGAGCCTCCAAACAGGTGCCCATGCTCCATGACATTGTTATGACCCAGCAGGGAACACCTGTTTCACAGATCAATTACACTCAGTCAGACAAAGGAACCACCTGACACTGTCAAGAAACACTAAAGGCCTGGATGTAATGCACTGTAGCACTCAGACGTCAGGCTTACTTTGTAAACAATCCGGATCAGAAGATCTAAAGAGGCCAGAACCAGATACATTGTGATTACAAGGACAGATATATACTGACAGCCTGGTAGGTTAGGTAAAACAAACTATAAAACAATCCTAGAGCTCTGATAAGGAACTTCTACATGTACCCAGGCCTTGTATCAACCTAAGGCTTCCATTAACGTAATGTAAGAAGTCTTGTAAAGAAGAAATGAGAGAAACATGAAGAAAACAACAGATCAATGAGGGCCTGCATGCCCTTTTTCGTAAGGTGTAATCAGACCTTTTTAGTCTTCATAATCCGTATGCAGCCACCCTAAATCACTGGAATTCGTAATCAGCACATTAGCCGTAACCTGTACTGATTTTTCGTAAAATGATCAGCTCTGAGAATTTTGTGTGATTCATAATCTCTACAACCCCCCCACCCCCATGCAGGCCCTCATCAATGACTTTCTAATCAATGTCGAGAGGATACAGTTTTGTTTTGGTTGGTGCATGGGTAATGATATGTCCTGTAGGGGACAAGCCAAATTGTAACATGCTGGGTGGTCGGCCAACCTGCTAGTCAATGCTGTAGGTCCAGGCAGGGCCCTGAGCTAGGCCGGGCCGCTGTGGTAGGTTGTTACAGAGGCCCTGTGGCCTGGCTAGGGGAGTGTGGTGGGTCCTGTTTCTGAATGTGTGGTCTGAGCACTGAGGCAGGCTGGGAAAAAACTGATGTCATACACTAGTACACACGGGTGGCCTCATACAGGACTGCAATACTATATCCTCTAGAAATGGAACTGGGAATGTAGCAATTTGGTTAAGCCTCCTATATGACTACTGTTCTGATCAAGGAATCAAGATTTCAATAACCATACTTCTTAAAATCCAAAGCAAAGATTGAAGAATATTCTACTAACTGTGACTTATATGTGACTGATGAACCTCTTCAAGAAGTTGAGGCTATTTTTAGAGGAATTCACTCAACTTAAATTCATGATTCTGCACAAAGTTTCAACAAAAATCAAGCATGACAGTAACATCACAAGTTTGAGAAAAATTCTCCAAAACCTGTCAAAGCCGAATGCCTTAAGCCTCTGCTTGGAGAGTTCAAAGATAAAAAATTAATTACACATGACACCTGTTGCAGCTTTCTGTAATAAACAAGGTGCAAAACATCTGATACACATGAAGTGTACAACATGGCCTAACACACCAGCTTCGCAGGCACGCAGCGCGGCAACAGCTAGCTATATCACACCGAACGACTTGTTGTGTTCATGATATAAAGAAAACAAGATACAGAGTTTAAATATTTCAGACATATATTTCAGACAAATATTTCTTCTAGAACCCAGAGCAGGATCCTGTCTTTTGTTTGTGTTGACATGCTGATGATAAGGTGTTTACAGTAATGATAATTGGAACACTTGACAGTAATTGTAGGGTATGTTACTGGGCTGTAATTATATTCTCACTGTAATAATAGGTTTGGCAGTACTCCATAGAATACATTTTGTACTAAAGGAAGTAAAATTAATGAAAACCTTGTTGGTTTTCCTTTCTGTAAACTTAATTAACAAAGTTTAACAGAGTTCTTGTTAGGAGACACTGAGGAGAGAATAGGCACATGCTGAGAGTGATTATACCCAAGGTCACAGAGCACACCTGCACACTGACCCTGCTGACCTGCTGTCAGCCCTCCCCTGGTAACCAATCAGTAACCAGGAAACTGTAACCTCGTTAAAGGGCAGCTCTGCCTCAGGCACAAGGTTGGGAGAAAGGGTAGGATGGACAACCAGCTGGCAGGAAGAAGCTAACAACAAAACTGTCAATCAAGTAGATCTGGTGATGTGAAGACCTCTGGCAAAAGACATTCCTTTGCAATTGAGCAAACATCTGATATGGTTCTTACCGAAATCGTCAGACTATGAACAGGGATAAATGTACACAATTTATTTTAGCTGCATCACAGTTTGTTTCATTTAGTTCTTATATCCTGCTTCCTTTCATTTTTCAAAAAAGACTAGGCTACGAAGTTACACAATCAGTGTTCCTGAGTACTGAGTTCCTATGCAGTACTCCACTTAACCAGTAGGTGGCTACACTACAACTGTTACAGGAGAAACTTTCCATACTCTCAACATTAGCTCAAGAAAATATATACATCACGTTTGCAGAGACGTGGAGCACTGTTTGACTGCTGATACAGACACACAAAATAATTATCAGGGGATTCAAATTGGGTATTTGAAGGCAGAGCCCATTCTTTCACTTCTGCCACCTTGTACCTCCTCAACAGGTTCCCATTTTACACCTGGGTGGAGTGAGGGAAGTCATGATCATTCTACCCAAAGACACAACATCTAACCAGGAATGCCAGGAATTGAACCCGTGACCTAAATACAACTAAAGTCAGGCATCAACTCAACTCACAGAAAAGATGTTCCGAACACATCCTCCTCATCACTGGAGCTGCTGTCCTCCTCGCTATCCTCCATCCTCCTGCTGCTGGTCCTGTCTACAGACGTGCTCCACTCTACGGAGTCTACCGGGATCTGTGGGGCCAGCTTCTCTATGTCATCTGACAGGCTCATGTGGTTCTTCAAGAACATGTCCTGCCGGGTCAATCGATCAATCAATCAAACGTCAGAAAAGAAATCATCTAGAATATACAAACAAATGTAGATTCCATGCCTCTACTACTGTGTTTTTAAATGATTATCGAGACATAAAGGAACAAACAGACAAAACCACCAAAAACAAAAACTTTCCATTTGAAAGTAAACCACAGTTCTAAATCTTACGATAGCTAAGTTTACCTTCCTTTGAAAAGAACAACTATTCAATCAGAATTCGCAAACTGTTGGCAGTTAGATGTGTTCGTCTGGTGCAGTTTGCGTTTTGATTAATGTAGCCTTAGCTGAGGGAGCATCTGGGCAGAATTTACATGTACTGCACCTGTGCGAAACCCGTAATGTATCGTGCATTGCACTCTGGCAGAATGTCTCTTTACAAAGATTGCATGCAATTGCATATTTAAGAATGACATCCTTTGCTATCTGTTTTGAAATGTTGTGTCGGAAAGGATATCATCTGCAACGAGCAAAATCCCGACGCCACGTTGACCAAACATTTGACAAAAACCATGGAAAATCCAGGTTTTTGTAGTACGTTCTGCCGGCATGCTAGCTAAGGTATAGATACAGGGTCTGACTTGCCTGTTTGTGAACCTTGCCCTGGTCAGCAGGACTCTGGGTAAAGTCTGATGACGGGGTGAACCTGCCTGGGTCATCTTCTGAGTCCAGCTCTATCCGCTCTATCCAGGAGTTATAATATCTGGGAGAAAAAAAATCTCGTTATTGATTGTAAAACAATATTCTACCTACATGTACAGTAGATTCTACATTGTAACCTTCATCAACATCTCAACTTTGTACAGTCTACATATACTACTGCTCCTGCTAACAATCATGGTGACATGTTTTGACCACTTTAAGTTGTTCTGTGAGATAACGCCCAGGATTCGTGCAGCGTCGACCGCTTCTAGGTGTGCAGGACAATTGTAATCTCAGGTGGTGGTGGTAGGTGGCGCATAAAGCAGAAGAAAATGACCTTGAACTTTGAGGGATTGAGGGTCATGTAGTTATCTTCAGTCCACCGAGCTAGGCTATCAATGTCATCTTGGATAGATGGTGATTGCTTAGCGAACAATCAAACTGTATCTACATTACGTACTTAAAAGATGTACATGCAAAACCAGCGGTATTGAGTTTCTAATGCTTAATAAAACTCAGGCTGAACTTGAGCGATGGCCTTCTTCATTTCCTTGCCCTCTACGGAGACCTTCAAACTGTTTGACAATGCCAGTGGTCTTGAGTTTCAGATATAGTTTTACTTTAAAGTGTTTAGATTTCACTGTTGGCTCTGCATTGGTAACATCAACAAGGCTGGTATAAAACTACACTGTATAAAGACAGTGCGCCATCCCCTTGTGATTCAGCAGTGCTACATGTAGTTGGGACACTGTCAGTTGTTTTCAGATCACTGTACACTGACAGAGCTGACCATGGATGTGAAAGCGGTGCTTGTCATCCTGGCTGTCCTGATGCCCCTGCAGCAAGCTTCCGGTGAGGGGGGGCTCGAGATCAACATCAACATTGAGCGCAACGCAGGAACAAGTGACATGTCAGACAAGAGTCAGGTATAAGCTAGCTATTGTTTCAAACCCATAGTTTTATCACCAACATTTACATCAATCCTGAAGTGCTAAATGCATGGAGATTTAGACTTGAGGCAAACAACCATTGATACATTTCATATATATGTATTTCTTTGCATTAATTCCAGAACATATTCCAGAACATGGTCACCGCTCTAGTGCTGGAACAGAACAAGGAGATGCAGGAGCATATTAAGAAGTTGCAGGAGCAGGTCAAGGAGTTGAAGGAGCGAGACAAGGATGTGGCTGACTTGAAGAATCAAGTCAAGAATCTCACAGCAGATCTCTGCTTCACCAAAAAGAGTGAGTCTAACATGCATATTACTCAATCTGAAGTACACCATACAATGTCCTTCTTCTTTCTTCATTTCAGGTAAAAAAGAACCCATAAAACACAATATATCTTAAAATAATACAAATCTCTAGAGACATACAAATAATACAGAAAAACCTAGCTAGCAGATGCATAGTAAATATTAGTAAGTATTTCGGAAGAAAGAGTTCATGTATATACATGTACCTTTACCATTTTTTCGGTAGATTTTGCCTGACTTCAACTCTGTCAACACAATACCTGACTTAGATGGATTGCTGTTTTGATATTTGGCTTGTGAGTAGGTCTAATGATGATGAAGCCTTAGAATGGTTAGATTTGGCCCCTTGGCACCTTTCTGAGGTACATCTCATTCAGTAGAACTGACAGTTTTGAAATCTCGTGTTTTAGACATTCTAATTTTTTTTGTCATGATTCTCACTGATTGGTGGGTCACAGGTTAGGTGTAACATGTATGATCATTCTCATACTATCATGAAAGTTCATCTGTGTTGGTAGGTACATGTTTAAACTTAAAACTTTCAATCCAACACAAAAAGTTCTCTCACCTAGAGCTTTCGACCAGTCACTCTGGTCTTCCTCAGTAGACTGACCCAGTGAGATAAGAAGCCACGTGACAAGCTCTAGGTGAGAGAACTTTTTGTGTTGGATCAAAAATTTTAACTTTAAACATATGATCATCCTCCTTCTGCAGCCTGCTGTAACAAGACTGTAACCTGTCCCAGTGGTTATGAACGGTTCTGTGAAAGGCCAGACATGTGCTACAAGTTTGTTGCCGAGTCAGATTCAAAGAACTACACTGATGCGAAGTCAGCCTGTCACGCTGCCGGCGGGCGCCTGGCTATGCCTAAGGACAAGGCCACAAACGACCTCCTGGAAAAGCAGGTCATGGCCAAGTACATCCTGAATAATCAGGCCGTGGCAGGTTCCATGCCAGTCCCCCATTTCTATTTCTGGATCGGTCTGACAGACCAGGTGACAGAGGGAACCTGGGTGTGGGAGGACGGGAAAACACTCGGCACTGGCTGGAACAACTGGGCATCAGGGCACCCTTTCCATGGTGATACTTCTCACAACTGTGCTGAAATGGTATATGGCGGAAAGTGGGCTAATCTTCCATGCAAAATGTTGTTGGATTACATCTGTGAAGTGAAGGCCACTGCTGCCTAACCAAGTATGATGTTTACTGGGAGCCTGATACATTTGAATGAACTGTAGCAAGTAGATGGATTGAGGTTGAAAAAATTTCAGGTTGTCATTTTTTAAGTACAACAGTCTACAGTCTATTACTGTGGAAAAAAATCTAAACTCAGCTAATGGTGGAGTGTTTTTTGTTCTCTTGTGTGGAATTTGGACTATGATTTGGATATAACCACATAGTACTTTATAATACATGTACATGTAGTGACAGAAAGAGGAGTGAAAAGCATTATGCAGCTGGATAATGTCCATACAAAATGTACAAATTGAAAGCATGCTAGCTAATGACGGTAATGTTTGAACATTACATATTGTATGTATCAGTATTATATATAGTATACCAATAGTAGGGGCACACCTAAATTGCGTGTGATACTCACTGACAGATATTGTCACATCTGACATCTGATTGGAAGTGCATAGTACAGAATGAAGATACCTTGATCAGAAGGTACACGTATCTGACATTCATGTGAGATATAAAGAAGTGCTCCAATAGTCAACGTTATGATTATGATATTGTATGTGAAGTAAATGCTGTTGTTACTGATGAGAGCTGAATACACAAGCTGTATTTTAATACAATTAAAGTATCTTTACATTTGCCCGGACTAAAGGTCCCGGTTTTGGGAAAATGGACAATCTGTGGTATTTTGAGATTCGCGATTTCTCTTTGGCTATTCAAAATTTGTAAAATGCATTCTTAAAAACAAAAAAAGTTCATGTCCCGGCATTTATCTCCTAAAATGTGGTGCTGATTTGACACAAAAATTTGTCTGTGCAACGCGCGAGGCTGCCTGCATGCTCTGTCGGTATGCAAATCTTGCATCACATGTTTGCATTATGCACCTCTGATCGGTTGTTGCGTTAGTGCCGGCAGTAATACACAATCGATCTGACTCGCATGTAAACAATTTTCTTTGTTCAGAAAGAAGCAAATTTCTGTCATCTTTGGCGAGATTTTGGCATTCAATGAACCTTGGGTTTCTTGTAGCCACACTAGTATTTCTACCATCAAAACAAGAAAAAGAATCCCGCAAAAGAGAAGAGAACCAAATAACATTTCAGATCCCAGGAATAATATTTTTCATCAAAATATTTGTAGATATGCCTGATGTGCCCGCATTTTAGCCATATGCTTCCTCATGCATGACCAGCGCTCTGCACGCGAAGATTTTTGTCGTGTGGTACGCAGTTGACACGGCCAGCATCAAATCGCCATTCGGGTGTCTCATAATATAATTTTTGATATCAGTATAATTTTTATACTCAACAAATTGTACTGTGTGTGATTTACCAAGAAGTTGATTTGCTGTGATTTGTGGATCCCGTGTGTTGTTTGTGTTTCGCTTTAACTTACTTGAACTCGAGGTCCGTTGTGAATGCACGTGAGGAGGGGTGCACACTTACGCAAAACATATCCGCGGGGAAATAGATTCGTGGTACAAAGGTCACCGCGAATGCCATGAATCTAATTATACCGCAGAAATTTGTAGACTTACAATATTACTGTACCTTAGATATCCAACAATGTGCAAAGGCAACAATCTACACCGAGTTGTGAACATACCCACAAGGAAAGAGGCTACACTTATCTGCTTACATCACCAATGTAGCCCACCTGTATGAATCGCCTGCTTCTCTACCACCGATTGGACACAGTGACCACAATGTCATTATTCTGAAGTCCAGGACAACCAACCACACAAACAAAACCGTGACAAGGGCATTTGGTCAATGAATCACTACATACAGCTGGGAAGATGTACTAAATGCCTTGACACACAATCCAAGACAGACGTCTTCTGTGACAAGATACGTAGCAAACTTGAAGAGCACTTCCCTAGCTACCAAAAGAATTAAGATGCACTATAACGACCGTGGCTAACCCCTGAAATAAAGAACAACAGAGACAAAAAGAGTTTGCAAACAAGCACTACAGTGCCTGGCGTGTTACGAAACAAAATCCAAAGGAATATCAAGAAAGATAAGAAAATGTTCTACAAGAAAAAGATGCAAGCCCTCTGAAAAGACAATCCCGCCTAGTGGTACCGAGGAATAAAAAACATGCTGAACACACGCATGAAGGATCTGTCACTTCAAATTAACGGCTTGCACCCCTAAAACGAATGCCAACGCTATTCCTGATGCAATCAACAACATATTGTCGCAGGTAACAAGATCACTTCAACCGTTAGACCTAGAACAACTACCCACCTTCCTTCCAGTGATGCCCCTTCCACTTATCAAACCTTGGCAAACAAGACTGTGAGGAAATTTAATGTGCATGGAGTTACCTGACCACATTCTCGTGGTTTAGTCTGGACAGTAGTTTGACCTCTCGTGTGATCTTCCTGTTGAAGGCTTTACTCTTGGGGTCCAGTGGGATACGTTTGATGGCGTACACACATCCATCCAGCTTGTTCCTCACCTACAATGTACAATCAGAATCACACAATACCTTTTAGTCACTGTAAAGACGCTCTTTTTACACAACCAACCTAATTGTTTTATTCACAGCCGACATTTTGGTGACCATCTGTCACCTTCCTCAAGGCAATTCTGAATGGTTCACATTGCTGCTATAGATGCATT